GAAGATAAACTGCTCACTCGTGCATTACTGGTAGGACTGCAAATTGGTGCAATAACTCTGGAAGCAGTATGGAGATAAACTCGGAAGCACCAATTGACCCATTTATCCCACTTCTCAGCTTATATTCAAAGGACTTAGAATCAGCATACTATGGTGATGCAGCCATATAAATACTTATAGCAGCTCAATTCACAATAGCCAAGCTACAGAACCAACAACCAGGTGCCCTTCAACAGATGAATAGATAAAGAAACTATGTCATATATACACAATGGAATTTTATTCAGCTACAAAGATGCATGAAATTATGGCATTTGCTGGTTTTACATGGATGGAACTGGAGAATATCATGCAAAGTTAAATAAGCCAGTCCCCCAAAAACCAAAGATCAAATATTCTCTCTGATATGTGGATTCTAATCCTGACAAGATAGGGTGGGGAGAAGTATAGAAATTCATTGGATTAGACAAAGAAGGATAAAGGGAAGGGAGGGGGAAGGAGAATAGGAAAGACAGTAGAATGAATGGTATATAACTTTTTTATGCTCATGTATGAATACATAACCAGTGTAACTCTACAACATGTTCAACCACAAGAATGGGATCAAAATTGTAATGGTTTGCACTCCATACGTGCAAAATATGTCAAAATACACTCTACTGTCTTGTATATCTAAAAACAACATTTTTTTTTAAATGTAAGGAAAAGTTGATAGGAGCATTTTCAGAAGTTTCAATCTATGGTTGCTTGGCCCTGTGGCAAGGCAGAGCACCGTGGCAGGAAGTATACAGTGGAGCAAAGCTATGTATCTCATCACAGTCAGGAAGAAAAAAAGAGAGGGAACAAGGGCAGGATTCCTAATACCCGCTTCAAGGACATGGCCTCAATGACCTAAGTTCCTCTCTCCATGCCCCACCTCCTAAAGTCTTCACAAATTCCACAGGCTGGAGACCAAGCCTTTGGCATATGAGCCTTTGGAGGACATTTAAGATACAAACTACAACAACCATTAAAAAAGAAGAAGAAAAAAGAAAGAAAGGAAGGAAGGAAAAAAGAGCCGGGCACACTGGTGCACACCTATAGACCCAGCTTAGGAAGCTGAGACAGGAGGATCACGAGTTCAAAGCCAGCCTCAGCAAAAAGCAAGGCACTAAGCAACTCAGTTTAACCCTGTCTCTAAATAAAATATAAAATAGGGCTGGGGATGTGGCTCAGTGGTCGAGTGTCCCTGAGTTCAATCCCCGATACCCCAAATAAACAAAAACAACAAAAAAAAAGAGAAAAGCTATGATCTATTCTTTTCTTTCTTTCTTTCTTTTTTTTTTTTTGTTGTATTTGAAAACAAATTTGGGAGAGGAAATGCCTCTCAGAATGAAGAAAGCACAGCTGGCAAAGCACTTTGAGAGATTCATGGTGTTACAGTGTGTTCATCACAGCAGAACTCCAAAATGAAAACAGGCTGTGGAAAAGAACCTTATAGTTGGGGGGGCACTAAAAATTAATAATGTAGTCAGGTTTTTTTAATATTTATTTTTTAGTTTTAGGTGGACACAACATCTTTATTTCATTCTTATGTGATGCTGAGTTCAAACCCAGTGCCTCACACATGCCAGGCGAGTGCTCTACCACTTGAGCCACAAACCCAGCCTGACATAGTCAGTTTTTATTGGTGTTCTCCCCATTATACCTCATAGAGTACAAACATTCTTCATCTACACTCAAACTGAAGTGTGCTCTGGCTGGCATAGGTTGCATCTCTGTGTCGCTACAAAGTGGATGGCAAAACCCTCTTTTTATGGGAACTAAATATGTCTTTTCTCCTTACTGTCCCTGAACTGGAATGCCTTCTCCATGTCAACTATAGAGCTGGGTTTACGTCCCTCAAAGTAGTACCTAATTTAGACTTGATGCTCATAAGATAACTTTGGGACAGATGTCCCCCATATGACAAAGTCCCGTGTCTTTAAGAGCCTATCTTTATAGAAGGCTTAGGAAAATCATTCATTTAGTTAGAAGAGGTAATCAATTGTTCCAAAGAGTGGTTTGTGTTAGCAGTGACATTTTTAGAGGTTTTTTTTTTACACTTCTAACAACTACAAATACTCATTTATTTTTAACAGCTACTGCCATGTACTATTTATAAAATATTGTCAGTGTCAAAACTCTTCAAAAGGATAATATACCCTGTGGCTTACATGTTAAATTTTACTTATTGATTTTAATGATATGCTATTCACTTTTATTAACACAACACATGCAAATTTGGATTTCAATTGTTATTTAGAATTAGTACTTGAGAATATTAATATATTAGGTGTAGGTTTTCTTCTTGGCATGAATTTGGACCCCAGTTTCCAGAACAGAAGGGAAGTAGCACGGGCTGTCAGAACTCCATGTGCCCCTATTCTATGGCAGCCTATGCTAACAATACTGCTGTTCTCATTCGCTCATCCCACATCTCTGCTCACTCTCCGCCTCCACTTCCACCTGCAATTACTTTTTACATGTACATTCCTTTCAAAGTTGCTTTCCCCATTTTTTTTTATTCCCACCAGATTCTTCTCCTTCCTTCCTGTAGAGACACTGAGAAAATGAAAAAAACTTTGGTTTGATGAATACTGTGATAGATAATGGTTGTGTTTCTCTTTCCAGTATTCTTTTCTTTTTTTCTGGGAATAGAATCTTTCCTTCCAATGAAAATCCATGGTACGAAGCACAAAGAAAACGAACCGTTCCTGATTCCTCCCTGCTAATACACACGGGCACATATAACCTACTCCTGGCCAAGTGGAGTGCTGCATCTCCCAGCAGTAACAATTGATTCAGGGATTGGACAGTTAGAATCTACTTCCTTGGATAGATGGGTTCTAGAGAGAAATATGATAACTGTGTTTCTAAGTTATTATGAGCTTTATGATCCATGTGAGCCTGGAGCTGTCAGTGCCATACTGAGAGAGATGGCCTAAACATGAAGCAATTGAGAAGACATCAAAACAAATAAATCAAGTGAGAGAGAGAGCCCTCACATCCTCATTTGAGCATTAAATCCATTTATGTCCATCATCTGAGGTTTTCAGGTGCCTGAGCTATAGCACAGATGAACCCCTGATACCAGATGTGCTATGTCCTTGGTTGAAAGAGTAACAAGGCCAGTTCTTCCCCTTCAAATAAAAATTCTCACTTTCAGAGGGAACCAATCAATGTTGATTAAGACAATCCATTAATAACTTAGTTTTGGAGAAGGAAACAAAGTCTTTGGACTAGGTTTCTCATTATGCAGGAAGAATAAAGACCTGTGATTTGTCAGGCTCTCTTTGGATGCAGTGATGTCCAAATTATGTTTCACAGCAATTGATGGGAAGGATATATGACAATAAAAATGAGTTGTGTCCTCACTACTCACCAGACTGCATGTGTCTACACTGTGTCAGATGACTATATGAAGCCCCCTGCAAGGAATTCAGGCGCATGCCATTTTAGAATTGTAAGAAAGTAGAACTAGTTGAATCTAGTGTTTTTTTCCAGTGAGGCTAATTGAAAATAACAATAATTAACTATCTTCAAATATTGAGATAACTGCTATTTTAACTTTTGTGGTAATTCCAAATATAATATAAAGTTATAAGCAAGGTGATTTAAAAAAATATACCCATGCAGATGAATAGCATACCTTCTAGAAATGATTACATTCTACTGATTTGTTCCCCTTTTGCAATTTGCTGCATTTACTGACTCAATCTCTTATCTTCTTTAGAATGCAAACATCAAAAGAGTATGTGGTTTGCTTATCTCTGTTTATACAGAATCTATCAGTTTCTAGTATACATATGATAATATTCTCTCCAGCACCAGTTGTTGAAAACATTTCAATTATAATGTTCATTTCTTTGTCAACACTAGTCTCCCCAAACTCAGAGAACATCAGAAAGAGTGTAGAATGCTGCAAAATAGTCCAGAAAGTGATCATAATACCTGAAACTTGTTGCATATTGAGTTTTCTCTACAAATATATTAACAATTTCCATAGAAAATAAGTTTCTAGTCACATTCTACATACACAATCATTTATATACCCAAAGATTCAGTATCCAGCAAAAAAGATCTTATTTCAAATGAAAAACTATTTATGTCCTCATATCCTGAGATATTTCCAATTTATTTCGGATAAATATATTTCCACTATTTTATTAAATAGACCAAAGTCTCCTCCAAATATTGGAGGTAGAATCCCATGATACACTTGCACTCCAATTACTTATGATATTGAATTATGGATCAGTGATAAACAATGTAAGAGATTTGTTGTTTTAAAATGAGAACTTATCTGCTAGTATGTTCTTCCCACTTGACAAGATGGCCCCTTTTTACTTCTCTAAGTTTGTGCTTCTACTTATAAAATCTTTCTTTTGTCAAGACATTGATTCTAAAAATTGTTCTTTGTTCATCTGTACAAATACCATGAGGTTTAGAAACATTCACGGCAATGGTGTGGTTATATCAACCCCAGGGCAGATGGCTAAATGTGTTTGTAGGTTGAGTTTGATTTTGGTAAGACAGCTTAATTTTGAAGTTTGCATGGTTTTCACACTGAAGAAACTGATTTTCATTTGGAGATCAGTATTTAACATCAGTTCTTGTATCCTGACAGCGTTACTATGAGAGGTGAATTTCCTAAGTGATTCCATAAGTTTGGGAATATTTTTTAAATATTTGGGGTTTTTTTAGTTGTAGATGAGCACAATACCTTTATTTGATTTATTTATTTTAATATGGTGCTGAGGATCAAACCCAGTGATTCATGTGTGGTAGGCAAGCGCTCTACCACTGAGCCACAACCCCAGCCCAGGTCTGGGAATTTAAGGTCATAGTTTAGAATACTACATGTTTTGTTCCATTCCATTAATCACCCACAGTCCTGTTGTGAACGGAAACTAACACAACATTTATAGTTTTGAGAAACACAACATTGTTCTTGATGATTTACAGTATCACTAAAGTCATTGGAGTATAAATGATTTATTAAGTAATAGACTATTGTGACTTTAAGCAGGTATGATTTTGGTTTTATTGCAAGGCACACAATCATATATACAATGCATAATTATCACCTTCTAAAAGTATTATATATAAATAATATACATTATAGTAATGAATATATGAATATACTTTTCTTTCAGAGAAGAAAATCATCTTGGCACAAGTAGTTTATGCTCTTTTTGGATGGGATTTTCCTATTTATGCTGAATCACCCAAACAACTCTTGCTTAGAAAAGAAATCTCTTTGAGCAGACGTATAACCTTGCCACAATTTTCCTTACAATGCTCTCATTTAAAACCAGTCAATGTGTTCCTTTTATTCCAGTTATTCATCTGTGTCCCAGTAGTAGATGAAACATCTATAAATGGTCTGATGCAAGTTAATAAAAGTTTATTTCTCAGTAATATCTCACAAAATGGAACCATTTTTTCTTAAGTTGTCCGTGAAAATTTCTTGATTTCTTCCCCAAAAGTATTTTCAAACTGTACTTCTTTTTTCGTGGTAAGCCCTGACCCTAAACTCTTTGCATAGAGGATGATCCTAGGTTCATAAGCAGACCAGGGGCACTAAGCATGTTTTCCACTTTGGTCCCAGTTAGAGTTGTAAGTTTCCTCCTCACTGCTGCCTCCTGTGTGGCTGGTTCCTCTCTGCATTTTCTCTGACCCCTCACTACATCCTGTCTTCCCCAAGTTGTTATAAACACAGGAAGGAAGAGTTCACACAGATAGTGAATCTCAAGGCCAGAGACACAGCAGGCAGTGCCCTCCTTGCTGAGATGGGAGAACAGGAACATCAGGAGATGTCTGAAAGGCAGTGAGATTTGGACAAACGCTTTGTCTGGAAAGACGAAAGGATGGCAGTATGATGGCTCTTCACAGCAGCCCACACACTGACACTCACACATACATGCCAACAGACATGCTTTGGACAAAGAAACACATTTATAGAAGGGGTACTTTTCCTACTCTATGTAATTCACTTTATCATTCCTTTAAAGCAGTACCCTAAAATGACATTTGCATCTTCCTTCTCTTCCTTCAGTTTGAGGAAGCTAGTGTTCACAATAACCCAGAAGCTACTTATCTTCCTCCTTGGGCTGCAACTTACACATGAAGAGATGCAGGATTATCAGAGAAAGATTCCAACTTCAGTAATGACAATGCACGCTTGGGGAACATGTGGTGTGCTAATTTAAAGAGAACTTTAACATAATTTCATCCTCAAATTATATCTCTTTTATACTTTCATTCTGGGTGAGAATCCACCAAGAAAATCTACTGGGTTTAGCTGTTTCATAAAAAAAAAAAAGGTCTTCCTGTTTCTTCTTTCAGTAGAGTTTGTTCCTGGAACTCCTCTCTCTATAGACATCCTAAGCAATGTTTGGTAGCCAGGATTTTTAAATACTGTGTTCACATCAATCAATAATCATCTACATCCAGTTACAAGGATACAGGAGCACCTAGGAATTTTCAATACAATTTCAGAAATGTTCAAAAGCTCTCTTCATTTTCATTAGGAAAAATATCTTCCACATTGCCTTACACCATGGGTGCTCAGATCTAGAATGGACACAAACATGATCAAACTACAACTATGAAGCCATGGGTAAAACCTTTAGTGCAAGGGTAGGTTTCCAGAAGGAAGGGGAATATATGCTAGAGAGAAAGCATAAAGTGAACAAAAGTCTAGATGTAGTAATAACCTACAGTTATACGGGGTGACACATTAAATTCTCCTAGTAAATTCCAAAAGGTGCTGCCCTCATAAGATACAGGTTTCGAGATGGGTGTCATTTCTAAATTATCCCTTTCTTCTCTCCAGGCAAATTACAGAAAAAGCCATTATCTCTGAAACCATAAGTTTCAGGGGGAAAGAGAGAATTTATATGTCATTTGGAAGTTTTAGCAAAATTATCCTAAATACACTGCTTATGGCAGTATCCTCAGCAGGCATGCCCTTCACAGAACACCATGCAACTTATTTCCAGGAACCCTGAGTGACATAATGTCCCTGTTCAGCACACATTTAGGAACAATTTTACTCCCTGCTGAAAGCCACAAATAATACCTTGAGATGCACATAATCAAAACACCTTACCTTCCATGAATAGAGAGAATCTGGTGATACCTATATATCCACAAAGAGATTCCACAAATACAATAGATCCTGCCAAGGTTTACAACCTGGGAGTGAGTTAAAGTTTGGGGAATTTGTTAACACATGTGTTACGAGCATGGTTAAAGGACTAAATGGTGTTCAGGAGTCTGAAAGAAATCCCTCATGACTGACTTCCAGAGACTAGTTTATGTTGCAGCAAAATGTGTCAGTATCAACTCTTAAGAATGCAAGGGATATCATTAGTGTGCTCCTGGGAAATGTCCTGGCTGAAAAGGAAGCCCATTGCTTGTTTCAACATAGACTATTATTTACAGACGAAATCATATACACTTCTGGTGGCATTTAAACCACTTTATGTTTTTTATATCAATGCATGCTTTATCAGAATATTATTTATCTGAATAGCATGCTAAAACAAAACAAAAGTCAGCAATTGTAGTTTTCAAGATATTAGTCTATGTTAACAGAGAGCCACATTTTGCATGTTTAAATAAGTTCTTAAATGTTAAGACAATGTTCTGTCATATGTGATTATCAGATGCCTCATTTGTGGGCCCAATTCCTACTTTGGTGGAATTTTTTCCATAGAGCCACATGAATATGGGTCTACCCAGCAGAAAGTTAGCTAGGCACTGAAAATGGTTCTCATTCTTTTTTTAGATTGTTGCTGTCCATGTTGAACATCTGAATTGGATGCTACTCAGTTCTGAAGCTAATGTTTTAGGGTAATTTTTTTCTTTTTATTTATTTTTTCCTAAATAGAGCTTTGAAGCCACATTGCATAGAAAGGCCACAGCAAATGGGGATTGAACTAAATTTAGGAAACCGGAAGAAAAATTCCTATTTCTTTGTTCATCAAAGGAACTGGGAATCAGCCTTGCTTGCCTGCTGTAGAGAAGAGTTGCATTTGTGCCTTGGACCCTTCATCCTCCATCCCTACAGCCTTGGATATTTCCACTGACTGGGTTTCTCATGCAGCCTGCACCTTCAAACCATGAAATTTCTAAATGTTTATAAAAAACCCATCTTCTCCTCTCAGACTGCAGTGGTAATCTGGGTAAATCCTAGATCGTTGAACTCTTCTCTTCCTGGAGAACCGTAGGAAGACATCTCCACGACTAGTCATACTGGCTTATTCATCCCCTCCACATCCCTCATGTAAGTGGGATCCTGGACTGTATTCCTGACTCTGCTCGTGCTCTGACGCTCCATCCTCATCTTGATGGGAAAGCAGAAGTCTCTAAAGCACCTCTTGAAGTTTTCATCAAGAAAGGCATAGAGGATGGGGTTCAGGCTGCTGTTGGTGTAACCCAAGGCAATGCAAAAGTAATAGCTGGAGAGGGCGGCTGTGCTGTGGGAAGTGCTACCCAGAGCCTCCACCAGGATGAAAATGTGAATGGGGGTCCAACAGATGATGAAGACGGCCACCACCACCAGGACAAGCCTGGTGATCCGGCGCAGGTTACGGTCTTTCTCTCGGGAGCCGGAAAGCAGTCGGACACTCTTCAGGCGCAGAATCATCAGGGTGTAGCAGACAATGATTATGAGGACGGGGATCACAAAGGCAAAGACGAAAACGCAGATCTTCATGAAGAGGTCCCACCAGGAGTAGTCATCATCGGGGAACTGCAAGGAGCACTCGATGACATCCACATCTAGAGGAGGCAACCAGAACCGCAAAGAGAAGCCTACTGTTAGTGTTGCCTACAACAAAATGTTTTAAATGTGCATCTGAATACCGCTGATTTAAAGGTCCAATGACAGTGAGATGATGTTACCTCAAGCAAATGAGGAATAGATGCCATATTATAGTAACCATTCTATCATTGTGCATAAAACCGAGAAGCTAGAAAACAGCCATTTATTGGTACACGATGCTTAACAGAATAAATGAGATGAGCTAGCAGTATGACTTATCCAGCTGTGAAAGTCGGTTTGGCATTGCTGGCTTTCAGGAGAGCTATATTGTTAGTTTACAGCATTGGCACTTATTCGAATCTCTGTGTATTAGCAGTTCTCCCAGACCTAAGGCTCTGGCAATTAAAGCTAATGTCTATTTGTAATAAATGACTGAAGATTTCAAATCTAGCCATCGAATTAACAAATACCAACTTATCTGAAAAACATCCACTGCTTTATGTGGATCCACAAAAACTGATGGAGAAATTTATCTACCTGATGACCCAGGAATTGTGATTTAAGGGAACCAAGCATGCTCATTATGATTAAGGGTGTTGCTGAAACATTAATAAATTTGGGGAGGAGAATAAGAAAAACAAAAAGAAGGAGATTAAAAGGGAACAAAGAAATACAAATAGAATCATCATCATTATCAAGGGAACTTTAAATAAATCAGGCACATTTTTCATTTTTACCATTACTATGTAACTCAGACAAAACAAATGTGTGTGTGTGTGTGTGTGTGTGTGTGTGCTGTGTACACATATGCTTACAAAATGGCTTGATTTGCTCTGCTTCTCTTTGCTAGATTGAATTCCCTTGGAGTGACCCTAATATTAAAAAAGACCCAGGATCAGTAGTTTTTAAATTACTTTCATGGGGTGGGGCGGTCCACTTACACATCCCCAGACTTCCCATTCCCCAAGGCCAGCCAGCCCCACCTCCTTCTGCCCCTGAGCAGTCAGGAAGCACACAACATGTGGATTTCACTTTGCACTGTCCTCCCTCACAGATGAAGAAGTCATGAGCAGAACTGTCAGTGTCATTTTTGTTTAAAAATATTTTATTTAGACGGAAAAAATGTTTAAAAAATA